CACCATTTACGTCGACTTCATCGCCCAAACCTTTGACTTCCCCTTTACATGCGATGATAATGAAAAAGGCATTTTCCTCCTAATATGTGCCTTTTAAACAATAAAGCCACCTTTTTTTTCTCTTAATGATCGTTTGCTTCATCTTATCATAACTCATTGCATATGTGCTCATAGCTAGGGCTGTAAATGAGACGAGACTGATCGCGAGCTACTCGAGATCGACTCGATCAAGGCTCAATAAATACTCAGATAGAGCTCAAGCTCGACTCGAGTTCTAAACGAGCAAAAATGAGCTACTTGATATTCAACTCGAAAAGCTCATGAGTAACTCGAAAGTATAATATATTAAGATTTTATTTTTTAAAAAATAAATTATTAATAGTATTAAAATTTATGTGTTGATTTTTTTAAAAATAATATACAATAAAATTTTCATGTATTTAAGGTCCAAGTTCGAGTTTGGTTTAAGAATTTTTTTTTCATTTTGAGCCTTCTCGAATTGTTCACGAGCTTCAGTTCAGGATTTTAAGTTCGATTCGAACTTGAAAATTTTATGCTCATGAGTTTTTAGGTCGAGTCGAGCCCCATTTTAGAGTTTTTGAGTCGAGTCGAGCTCAGCAATTCTCGAGCTTGACTCAGCTCACTCGTGGCACAAAATTTTCCACCGTCCACGAGAGCGACTATTGTGGATATTTTGCATCCAACAATAGTTTGCTAGTATAACTTCAACAATATCGTGAGTATCATCAAATCGAAGGCTTGACTGAACCTTGTCTATGGAATGTATCTCAGTCACTTGTTTGAGCTAGTTGATATCGATACATCTTGCGATCCTAACATATTTTCTTCCGATGAGAGCACCATTGGTCATTGCACTATGGTGAAGATCAACTACATGTAAGAGGCCGAGGGATCCATGCGTTGCGTATGTAGTAGCCATGGAGAGGATATGGATGATGACTACGATGGAGACGAGCATATGGATGATTCAAGTGATGAAGATGTTAGCAAGAAACTCGAGGGAACGACTCACGTAGACCCGGTACCTCATGTGGATTTCTTTCGAGGTTTAGAGGAGAGGATACTTCAATCTATCGGTTCTCTCCAAGCCTATGTCGACTCCTGTTTTGATACCCTTGAGTGTCGTAGGGATGCTTTAGAGGCTCGTATGATCGAGGATTTTGAGCGATCCAGTGTCAGCTTGACGGATTTTCCTTCCCTCATTCATCACAATCTTAGTTCATGCATGCATACCATATTATTTTTACGTCATTACACTTTGCTACATTTATGATGTTTGGATCTTTGATTTTTATTTGGTACTTGAATATTTTTATTTTGTTATTTGGATTTTTTATGACTTTGGTACTTTATACTTTGTATGGATTTATCTATTTATGTTAAATTACTTTGATGCTTCATATACATAATTGTTCCTATGTGTTTAACTGGTTCTATCTTTATTTTATATCCTTTGTTATATGATTGAATTATTTTTGATATAACAAAAAGGGGGAGAAGTATAAAATGAAAAATGATTTTCCAAACTTAAAAATTGGAGCTTAAATTTTTCACAAATTCTCAAATTGTTTTATTATTTTTCAAAGGGGGAGCATTTTCAAAAAAACAATTTTTCCAAAGAATTTTTTATATCAAAAAGGGGGAGATTGTTGAATTAAGATTTTGATATAATAAAAAATTACAAAATTAATTTTAAACTTAATCAATTTTTTCAAAAAAATAATTCAAAGCCCAAATTAACTTGAAAAAAATATGTTTTAAATGTTTTCCAGCTTAGTCAAACCTTTTAAAAAATATAGTCGATCGTTTTCACACTTTAAAGTTAAGTTTCCAAGGATTTTTGGCCCAATGGATTGATCCCTTTGACCAAAGGATCAATCCCCTTGAAAAATGACTGATCTCATGGATTCTAGTAGGTTTTGGATCGATCCCTTCACCAAAAAAATTGATCCCTCGATGAAAGGGTAGATCCCTTTCCATAAAGGATCGATCCCTTTCTTGCAACAATCGAATTATTTGGAAAAGGATCGATCCCTTTCACTAAAGGAATGAAACGATCCCTTGTGCATTAAATGATATTTTTGGTTGTAGGTAACGGCTATAATGATCCCCAATGACTCCAAACTGATATAATTGATGGTGAAGATATAAAATTGAAGGTTAAAGCTTCCTAAAGTCAACAAGAACAATATTGAACAAATATACGAACATCAAAGAAGTCTTGTATGCTTAATTTTTCTATCTTTTCATTGTAACACACTAGTGAGCTACATTGTTAATTTTGCTCAAGTATGATTTGGGTGAGTGTTAAATTTGTGCAAACATATTTGTATTGTGAGGTTTTCTCATTTTTTTGCTTTATTTGTATTTACTCTTTGGGAGAGTGTGTATTCAAGGTTTTGGGGTGTAAATCTTGAAGTGTTTGTAAGGTTACATATTATCCTTAAAGGTAAGCAAATTTAGTGCATTTGAGAAATCCTTAGTGTGGATGATAAGGTAGTGGATGTAGACTTGGTTTAGAAGTCGAATCACTCTAAATCGTTGTGCAAATAATTTTATTTTTCAGTTGCTTACACAAAATTTCTTAAAAGACCAATTCACATTTTATTAGCTTATTTTGGTTGTTCATAAGAGCTTAAAGATTATAAATGATGTTTAGAGGTTGAATTCATGCTTGAATCAAGATGGAAATCAAGAATATATCAACACTTCATATTTGGCCATTGTAGGAAAAATAGGGAAAATATGGAAAAATTTCCCTAATTCTGGAAATGATGTATGAATGATTCTACAAATTTTAAAATGTTGTTTGGCTCAATTTATAAGTTTGTAAAGTGTTGAGGACCAAATCATATGTTAGGAGAAATATGGGACATAAATGGAAATTGACTAGAAGTTGATGTATAATGTTTAAATGAATTGTTGTAATGCTTGAAAATGTTGTTAGGTTCTTGAATTTGAAGTTAAATAGCAAGGGATCATTTTGAATATTTGTAAATATTGAGATTAATTTTAAAAGAATTCATTTTAATGATTGAAATGTAAAATTGGAAACGTCATGTGAACTAGTGATGGATGTGAATAGTAAGGGAATTGAAGTTTCATTTTAAAGTATTAAGGTCAATGTCCATGTTATGAAAAGGAATTAGTATCGAAAAAATCTTTATGAATTTATTTTTAGTATACACTACTTATGTTAGTATGATACTAACATATGATTTGAAATTGTATATGTTATGTAAATGATGTTCATATAGATTGTGATTGAAATCAAATCAAAGCAAGCTTAAAGCTAAGGAAAAAGTTCAAGAGTGAAACTTAAATTGATAAGAAATGTTTGCAAGCTAAGTATACTAGGTGAGTGCATTTTTTTACCTATTTTATATATATGATATGAGGAAGACTTGCGATGAGTCAACCTCGAATGATTTGGAAAGAAAAGAATTTAAATCATATTTTAATCTATTTTCATATTGTTTTACAGAATGTCATTCAGATAATTTTGGATATGAACTGTCAATGCAATTTATATGATAATTTACTAAATGATTTATGAATACTTTCGGGTATGAATTGTTCAATGTACCTTTTTATGATATATTGATATGTTGGTATCTATGAATACTTTTGATAAATGAATAATGTGTGTTTCTGATAAAAAAACCATTGTATGTGCATTAATAGTCTTAGGTACAATTGGCATGCCATGAGGTGAAGTTATATAGAACATATTTGTATTTCCTACGAGGTACACTCGTGTACATTTTATACGACACCTATGGTGCAAATTAGGGGTGTAAACGAGCCGAGTCGAGCTCGAGTAGTGCTGAGCTCGACTCGATTTGAAAACTCTGAAATAAAGCTCGATTCGACTCGAAAACTTGCGAGCTTAAAATTTTCAAGCTCGACTCGAACTCGTAATCTTGAACTGAAGCTCGTGAGCAGCTCGAAAAGGCTCGAAATGAAGAAAAAAATTCTTAAACTTAACTCGATTGAAGCCTCAAATTCAAACTCGAACCTGAACCTTAAATACATGAAAATCTTATTGTATTTTTAAAAAAAAATCAATATATAAATGTAAATATTATTAATAACTTTTTTTTAAAAAAATAAAATCTTAATATATTATGTTTTCGAGCTGCTCACGAGCTTTTCGAGTCGAATATCAAGTAGCTCGTTTCGGCTCATTAAGAACTCGAGTCGAGTCCATTCGATTTGAGTATTTATCTAGCCTTGATCGAGTCGATCTCGAGTAACTCGCGATCTATCTCGTCTCATTTACAGCCCTAGTGCAAATTATCTGCTACGCACTTTCAAGTGCAATTTATCAATGAGACACTTTCGAGTGCATATTGCGCACATTCGACAAGACTCACGTACCTTACATTCTCATTAATAAACATTGGGTTATGATTTAAATGAATTGAAATTGAAAAGTGTAGGTGACCGATTCAGATGAAAGTAAACCTTTTAATGATTATTATACGGTAACGTGTGATTTGTTTATAATATATATATATATATATATATATATATATATATAGAATTTTCATTCCAGCAAAACATTTTGTAAAAATGCCGTTATTAACTATTAAAAGGCGACATTTTTAAAATAAACACCACAATAGTCATGCACTTTAGTGGTATTTTTGTAATAAATATTATAATAGTCATGCACTTTAGCAGCTTTTTGGATGAACGTCGAAATAATCATGTACTTTGGTGGCTTTTTTTAATAAACGCCGCAATAATCATGAACTTCAGCGAAGATTTTAGTAAATGAGCAATAGCCATGCATTTTAGTGACGTTTCTGGAATAAACGTTGCGATAATCATGCACTTTATCGATATTTTTTTAATAAACGTTGCAATAATCATGCACTTTAACGACGTTTTTTAATAAACGTCAATATAATCATGCACCTAGCCGCGTTTTTATAATAAACACCGCGTACACTCCTTTTAACCCACTGGTTCCAAATCCCTAATTTTTCATTCCCATTTTTTTCTAATTTTCCTCTAATGCCCAACCATCACAGTGAAGCCACCACCGTGCAGCCATCACCACAACTGCAACATCAATCTGCCGTCGTTGATTTTCGGTCACCAATATGTACGTCTTTCTTCTGCTTCGCACTCTGAAAACCCAAATCAATGTCGGCCTCCCTTGTTCCTGAGGCTATTTTCTATTTGGGGGGAAGCCGAAGCCAACGGTTATCTTTCAAATTACATGTTCAAGAAAGAAAGAGATTCAAAAAAAAAAATTGATCGATAATGAAACAGCACAAGGATTTAACGCCGAAGCGAAGAAAATCAAGCAAAAGGGAAACACCAACGGCGGACAAGGTAGTGACCGTACTTTCATCGACGGAGAAAGATACGAACTTAAAGAAACCGACGCGAAGGGGGAGAACAAGGACGATCTGGTGGATGAGAGTCATTTGAGATCTATTTTTTGTTTGAAAAAGATCGTCGTCATGAAGCGCGTTAAGGAGACCGATGATTGCTTTATTCTTGATTTTAACCCTTTCAATCCCGTTGACGTTGCCAAGCTCTCCGCCGCCAATGACGGCGATGTTGATGAAGAACTCTCCGTGGTCGCCGAGCGTGGCCAGGTTTTTGTTATTTAAACTCAATTTTTCGCTAATATATTTGCTGAGGAAATTCACACTTTTTAAAAAGTAAAACTTCCTTGGAATTGGACCAAAGGCTTCAAAATTAGTTTAATTCAGCTCACTGGGTATTGTTATTTTCCCGGAAAATTGACACTGAAGGAATCAAAATAGAATTTTGATTTAACTTCAATTCATTGTACAGAGGAAATTCACAGTTTTTAGACTTGAATTGAACTAGAAGTTGAAAATTAATTTAATCTAATTCTGTTATTTTAATTGGGTTATGAGAAGTTATGATTGCATTTCTTAGCTCGAGTTGCTTTTACTTTTTTAAAATAAAATATGTTTAGGCATTTCCCCCCAAGTAGAATTTTGTTTATGGGTTTGTCGTATGCATTTTTTTTTATGAGAATAGTTCTCAAGTCTTTTTGTGATTATGTTGATTTCATAAGCTTTTGAAACTAAACTTCTAAAATAATTTTAAGCCTGCTCCTCACTTTACTACTAGAACATCCTAATGCTTTTATATGATTTTTTCCCCAGGAAACATGCAACTTCAAAAACAGAGAAAAGTCCCAAATTTGGCATTTGATTCCAGTTCATGCCTTAATGATACTAGAGACCAGGATCATGTGCGCTGGTTTCTTTGTTTCCGTGATTTTACAATACGATTTACAGTTAGATACTCTGCAGCTTTAGATTCTCCTGAGTATTTATTTAATGCAAAATATAGTTCTGGTTGTCATAGTTAATGTTTGATTTCGATTGGAGATCGTAGAAGAAAACAACTGGAACCCCAATGAAGAAGTTAGCACGAGAGATGTCAAAAGAAAATGAATCTACAAAACAATTATCAAGTGTTACAGCGAGATTAATGGGCCTTGATGGGTTACCACCTCAACAGTATGGCCACAAGCAGCAGAAACAGTCTGAGTATTAGTCAAGGGAAAGTTCAAAAGGATGGTTCATTCTATAGTCAGTAGTCTTCTAGGTAAAACTCGAAGGAGGAGCCAGAGTTTAAAGTCGTTTTTGAAGATTTAGATGCATCTAAAATTGAGAGTGGTTATTACTCTTCACAAGGAACTGCAAACTCGAAGCTTTCTGATGCTGAGGTTCCTTTATCCAACAGAAGATTATAAAGGCTAAACGTCTTTCAAATGATGAAAAGCTGTTGGATTCCGAGGAATTCAATTATGCCCTTGTGGTGCTAAACTCAAACACGGATCTTCTGCTGAAATTCCTTGAGCAACCAGATTTGGTAGTGTTATTTTCCTTGAAATTGTACCAAAAAACAACCATCTTTAGTTTTTTTGTTATTTTAATTATGTTCTTGAAGTTGTTTTAGGTGGCCTGCAGAGATTATCCACATTCAAGGAATCTTTATCTGCAATTTCCATTTGATACGACACCTCTAACAGACACTGTGATTTGGTATGCAAAAAGATAATTATTTACTTGTTGGCGAATTAGCTTCTGGGATGATTGGGATTGAGATGAGAGGAAATTGTAATGAATTTTGTTTGGATTTGATGCAGTGTTACTGTTATGTTTGCGATTCGGCTGCTCCATGTGAGTGTTGGACAACATATTGCCATACGGCAGAGCATGCGGCGGACTGCGATCACAAAGGCTTGTGAAGATTCGGCCTAGAACGCTGTGAACAAACTCTCCGGAAATCCAATCTGAAACTCATGCTTAGAGTTGGGTTTTTACTAATCAAACAGTTGAATTTGTTGCTTCAAAAGAGTACATGATTATTTGAAATTTATAAATTCGTAAATTTCCAATTGATACATGTTTATTTCTATTTTATTTAACTCTGGTTACATCTCTTTCTCGTTTATTCTTAAATGCTTTCGTAGAAATTTTTAATGCACACATCTTTGGATAATGTACGGATAACATGATTACTTAACATTTGGTTAAAGCATATTTTAGCGGCATTTTGTGAGTAAAATTGTCACGATAAGTCATGACTTTTAATGGCATTTGGGTGAAAAATGCCACTATACATTATTACTATTAGTCGTGTTTATTTTAAAATGCCGCTAATTGACCTAATCTATTGCGGCGTTTGTAGAATAAACGCTGCTAAAAAGCATAACATTTAGCGGCGTTTATTTTAAAATGCAAACTTTTACCGTGTTTGTTTAAGTGGCGCTTTTTACGGCATTTGTTTTTGTGCCAGAAATGCTTTTAATAACTAAAAAACGTCGTCAAAAACCTGTTTTGTTGTAGTGTTGATACATATCGATATTTTACTTTAGTATTGTTAATGTCTCACTAAGTGTATACTTAGCGTGTGATGATTTCACGTGTAGGTAAAAAAGAAAGCAAGTGAAGTAAGGAGCTAAGCTTGACATTAAACATAAAAAACTATTTGTCGATACCAATAATGACATTATATGTTGTTTGAATTCTAGTTGACATGTATACTTATAATAAATGCATGTAGTATTTTACTATGGATTAAATATGATTTGATATGTATATAATGTTTAGATGGTTTTTAATAGTTTAGATAGTAACGAATGTGTAGCTATAAAAATGGGTTTTAGTTTTATATAATCGGTAAAAATTTATTTTACTAGCATAAAGATGAATTTTTATTTAGGCAGTTTTTAGATAATTTGACTAATTATACGTAACAGTATTAAAATGTCATATTGTTACCTAAAATTGAATATGAAAAATATTTTTAAATATTACTTTTTGATTTTATACGATTAAATAGTTTTTGGTTAATTGATTGTTTGATGATTGATGTAAAAAACAAAATTTTATTAAACTTCCAATAAGGATTATTTGAAATTGTCATGTGACATCTCTAACTCATATTCGGTGATGGATATGAGTAAGGGATGTTATACGAGATGGTAATTGGTGATGGGTGATGATGGTTGCCCTGTTAGTTTGGGTTAAACACTAAATTATATAAGTTAAAAAATTTAATTCTAATCAAATTAAACTACATAAATTAATTATTATTTTAATTAAAAAAAAATATAATTTAATCATAATTCTATTAAAATTAAAATTAAATATTTAACTAATTTTAAATAAACCATTATATTTTTATATAATAAAGACAATTTTATTAATTAATTAATTAATTAATTTTAAATAAACCATTGTACATTTTTACATAATAAAGACAATTTTATTAGTGATGTGTTTTAATATGTCTCTTTAGAAGTGGTATACGACGTACACTATAAATTCATCCATCATATAATTATGTTGTAATTTTCAAACACAAATTTATTTCGATGAGATATGTAGATAATTCAAGGGTAAACTAATTTATAAGAGTGTTTTTTCTTATTAATTCAGGGTAAGTACAAGTTAGTGTCCGTTCAAAGATCTCTCAATCATTTGATATTGAACGCTCATATCCTGATATTCAAAGTGTTCGAACCCAAGATCTAAAGAAATAACAACAACCCCTCTACCATCAAGGTTGTGTAGTTTGAGCTCTATAAGAGTGGTCTTATTCTGACTATTAAACTAAAATTTCTATTAGTTAGATCATTTAACTATTCAAATGATAAAAATCTAGACACCGACTGTTTAACAATTTAAAGACTTTATGAGTAGTTTACACATTTTATCAGTTTGGCGTGATTACAAGGTAATATTTGTCCTAAAGACTCTCAACTATTTAGTAATGAACTTTCAAACACATCTATAAACATCATACTTGAACTCAAGACCTTTAAATATAATAATAACACTTTTATCTAATCAGATCGATCGGTTCATGTAGTTTATCCATATTTTAAATTGTCAAAAGTTCTGCAACTATGAACAATAATGGGCATGGTTCGAGTTGGGTTTAGTTTTCGGTCAACTCGACTTGACACCCAACCCTACTTGACCGAAATATGCATCCTCACCTAAAATCTGACTTGATCTGTTTTTTGAGATAAAACTCAAGCCTAACCTGACCCAAAATAATATAAAGATCTAATTGTTTAAAATAATATAGAAAGAGATATTATTGTAATATCCCTAAATATATGATATATATAATTATATTATTTTTTTTAAATTAAATTGTGTCGGATATTTTCAACTTAAATCCAAACCCGACTTAAACTCATCTTTAAAGATCTCGACACAATAAAATCACATAAGATCGAAACTCTCGAGATCGGGTTTGTGCTCATTCCTAAGTATGAATAAAATGCGGGGGGTCTAAACATTTTCTTAATAGTCTAAACACTTTGTATTTTCTATTTCCAACCTATATGCGCTGTTTTTCTATTTCCGATGGTATGCAATATAATCAAAGCCCAAAAGCCCATAAACTCGAGTAAGCCCCCTCAAAAACTAAAACCCTAACTCGAACAATCTCCGCTTATATGATCCTAACCCTAGCCGCTTCGGTTTTCTCCTTCCACCAGTTATCTATATCCCTCGATAACCCTAATCAAAGGAAAATGGCAGAAAGAGGCGGAGGTGAACGCGGCACTTTCAGGCGTGGCTTTGGTGGTGGAAGAGGCGACCGTGGTCCAAGAGGCAGGCGCCGCGGCCGCAAGGAAGAAGAGGAGAAATGGGTGCCGGTGACGAAACTCGGCCGCTTGGTCAGAGCCGGCAAAATCACATCCCTCGAACAAATATACCTCCATTCTCTCCCCATCAAAGAGTACCAAATTATAGATCAACTTGTCGGCCCTTCACTTAAAGACGAGGTCATGAAGATCACTCCAGTCCAGAAACAAACTCGCGCCGGTCAGCGCACGCGCTTCAAGGCCTTCGTTGTCGTCGGCGATGGAAACGGACACGTTGGACTCGGCGTCAAGTGCAGCAAAGAAGTTGCGACGGCTATAAGAGGGGCGATAATATTGGCCAAGTTATCGGTGATACCGGTAAGAAGAGGTTACTGGGGAAATAAGATCGGGAAACCCCATACAGTGCCTTGCAAGGTTACCGGAAAATGTGGTTCCGTCACGGTGAGGATGGTACCGGCTCCGAGAGGTGCTGGTATCGTTGCTGCTAGGGTTCCCAAAAAGGTGCTTCAGTTTGCTGGTATTGAGGATGTCTTCACTTCTTCAAGGGGTTCAACCAAAACTCTTGGAAACTTTGTTAAGGTATTTTCTTTTTCTCCCCAATATTTCTTAATCCGATTCGGTTTTGTTGTAACTTGACATTGTTTATGGGTTTATTTAGATCTATTTGTATATGTTTTTTTAGAATGTTTTACTATCAGTTTTTTGGATTGTTGATTTGGGTCATTGAAATATCCCAAGGTTTATGTTAAATTAATTAGTTGAATAAAATTTTGATCGAGGATAGATGGTGACAGATGCATATTTTATTTCTTTGCATCTTTTGAATGTGTTTTTGCATTTGTGTATGCATATAAATGTATTCAAATAATCTTTAGGAGACCTAAACATGATAATAAACTTAAGGAGTATCGGTTTATCTACTAAATATGCATTTTTTATGATCCCAAATCTGTTGTAGATCAAACTTTTAAGAAGCAGGGAGTCTGCTGTGTTGTAAACTTCTTGTAGCATCTACAAAATGTGTGTTTTTGTATTCATTGAACTAAGCTTAAGATCTATGAACATGATTGCAAACATTAAAGAATAGTTCAGTTTATCGATTGCAAACACTAAAGAATAGTTCAGTTCAACAAATTATGCTATTTTTATGATCTCTTTTAAGTACATCTATGAAATATGTGATTTAGAGAATCCTGATTACCTGTTGTTCTTGCCAATGTAAAATTACAGGCCACCTTCGAGTGTCTTCTGAAAACATACGGTTTCTTGACCCCGGATTTCTGGAGAGAGACTCGCTTCACAAGGTCTCCTTTCCAAGAGTATACCGATCTGCTGGGAAAGCCATCAAAGACTCTTGTACTTGAGGATGTCGAGAGGGTTGATATCTAATAAGGACATCGACAATGTCATTCGCTTCGGGTAGTAATATGAAGTTCCATTTTAGGTGGCTACTTTCACTTGTGTTTTTGGTTGTCATAAGTCAGTAATGGTTCAGTTTTGTTGCTTTTGTGTCTGGATTCTGTTTAAGATTTGTGGTTTATATATGATGAATTAAAGACTTGTTTTTTTATTTGCTGCTTGCTTGTGAAATCATATTCCATGATATACCACTAGTAGATGGGGTTGAGTCTAAAATTTGAACCTGGCATTGAAAAATCCGATCCCTCTCGTAGATTTTATTGCTAAAAAATTTGCAACTGATGAACTCGTTTTATGTGTAGTATAGGTTAGTCAAATCCATTTTTTAATCAAATGGATTAACACTTCATTTTTTTTTCATATTTTGATTGATTAAACTAATTGATTCGATGTTTTTATTCTATGAACAACTCGGTCCTCTAATTTCATGAAAGTAAATCTTGAGGTTTGGAAATTATTTATTTGTAAATTATATTTTTTAATAATTTTGGTAAAAATCAGCTACATTTATTTGATTATCTCGTTTTTTTAATTAAAAGAGAAAATATAAACATAATTTCTTTTAGGCTTAATTGTACTATTGTACCCCTAACCTATGCATTCTGTATTGAGTTGACTTTTAAAGTATTTTTTGAAATGTTTAACCCCTTAAAGCGTATTTTTAGAACGTTTTGCCCTAATATCATTTTAATCGTTAACTCTTTTTAGTTACTAAATTATTTTAATATTTTAATTTTAGTCACTCAACTATTTA